GGGGCTCCACGGCCACCACCATGGCCGAGCTGGGGACAGAGTTAACATCTCTGTCAAGTACGTATGTGTTAGCTGCAGCACATTTCACTACTTTTAAAAATCCAAGTTCCCATTTCCAAACTCACACATCTGAAATTAAAATCCTCGTAGCTAGACTTAGGCACCAAGGTGGAATATAGACCCAGCATGGTCCCTGGGGCAGAAGGTCACCGTGCGGCAGCCCAACATCTCAGCCAGCTGGGATGGCTCCAGTCTGTGTCACCTCTGCAGAGGGTCCTCCATCGGGTCTCCAGCCAGCATCCCCACTTACCTGCCCCCCAGCAGGACTAACAGGGGTGACCGTGAACCGAGATCCCTCCCAGAACAGTGCAGGAGATTTACATCATCTCTTGGTTTAAGGAAGAAGCTGCCAACCCCAAAAGTAAGCAAAATAGAAGCCTGGATGCCAAGTAAAGACATCGAAGGAATCATGTTTATTTTTGAGAGTGAAATGGAGGTTCTTTTGCCTGCTGACAACTTGGAAACCAAGATGGGGACAAACTTTAGCAGGGCCTGTTGCAACAGGACAAGGGGGAATGGTTTTAAACTAAAAGAGGGAGATTTAGACTAGATATAAGGAAGAAATTTTTTACAGTGAGGGTGGTGAAACGCTGGAAGAGGTTGCCCAGAGAGGTGGTAGATGCCCCATCCCTGGGAACATTCACGGTCAGGTTGGACGGGGCTCTGAGCAACCTGGTCTAGTTGAAGATGTCCCTGCCCACGGCAGGGGGTTGGACTAGATGACCTTTAGAGGTTCCTTCCAACCCAAACCATTCTATGATTCTATGATTCCAAGTTTTTGAGAGGCAACAGGGGCAAACCATCAAGGCTAGGAATTCGCTTTTTTCAAGCAAATAAACAAGACTGCCACCTCTTCAACTGCCTTTGGGAGGTGGGACCACCAAGTGAAACATAACATTACTGTGCCTTAACGAAAGCTAGGACCACTGCAGTTAATATTAAATCTCTAAGGCTAGGTCCTGGGAGGACTATGGACTAGTGAGATAAACAAGGATATGGCAAGCATCCTCAGCATCCAATAAAGACATGTTAAATGTAACCACAAAAAAAAAATCCCAAAAACCCAAACAGGAGTGTAATAATAGCACCAACAGACCCATTACTAGGATCGAATGCCTTAGAGTCATTACATTTGACAAGGATGCTATTGGGAAAGGAATCCATAAAAAAAACATGTCACGACAAAGAGAATTAAGGGAAAGGTTTCCTGCATGACTTGACAGCTCAGGACGTCTGCTGAGAACCCGCTCGCCTTTGCCACTGTACAACTGCAGGAGTTTGCATGACTGCCAGCACTCAAAGACTCAAAACAGAGGGAAATTAATCACAAAGGGAGAGCAACACCGGAGTTTGCAGTAGAAGAAACAAACGATGTTGTTGTCTGGTACGCACAGATTCTCAAGCTGACACTGGAAAACACAAGAGCAATAAAAGCCAGAAGTGCACACCTTGGAGAGGAACCTGGAAACAGTTTTTCGCTCATCAGCATCAAGAGCGAGATGAGCAAAAATCAAAGGTTAATGCAAAAGCTTTGGGAAGATGACCCCAGGGATTGTTCATGAGGTGCACACGGGACAAATGTTTTCAAATTGTGAAGGACATTGCCAGATTTGAGGAACAAAAAATACATTTGAAACGCTCTAACGATGGCCTGGAAGCAAGATTAAAAGCAAACATTTCACAATCAGCAATTCAAGCAGATCACAGCCGGAAGAAGAAGGTCTCTCCCTGCTCAACAGAGCCAACACCAACCTGGTAAAACCGTACCCAGAGCACGTCACTGGCCTGACAAACGCCTCCCATGCAACCTCAGCTGTACAGCGAGGGCTGAACCAGATCACAAGCGTCTCTAACAAACCACCAGCTCGTGCACAGCCACAATCTCAGCTTATGATCAGCAAGCTACGGCATTTACTCACTTCTCATTCCAGCACGTCAGAGCATCTCACAGACGCCATGCGGGCGAGTTCACCCTCTTTTAAAATCACCAGCAGGCCAATGCTAAACACGGTGAAGAGGAATTTCTGTGAGAGAGATTCCTACGGCAGCATCAGCTTCACTGCTGTCACCAAGTGACTCAGAAACCAAGTGAGATTAATCAACAGAGCTGAAAAAAGACACAGTCTTTTCACACCCCTGTTCTCCTCTTAGCCACAACCAGCTGCTTTGAGCCACTGTCCCCCCTCCCAAACCTCCTACAGCTGCTGCTGCCTGGCTGGGGGGCTCCGAGCAACTAGCAGGGGCTGGGACAGCAGAGAGGGCAGGATGCCCCATGTCCTGGGCAGGACACAGCATCAGGATGTTTCTTTGGGCACAACATGAATGAGCATGCAGGAATCCCCAGAGAGCGTGAGACCTGAGCGAGACACTGACCTGCGATGCAGCAGAGAACAGCAGAGGCCTATAGTCGATGCAGCAGTGGACTCTGAACACAGGTCTGGTTAAAGTTTAACTTCGGGGACTCCTGTGGCTCTAAGATTCCCTCCGTCACCTCTGTCCTAACAAAGGAACACAAGAGTTATTTTGAAATACAACGATTTATTGACCAGTGCTGGGAGGTGTTTAAGATCATTAAGAAGTATGACAGAAATATGAGCTGGAGCAGTTGCAAGAGGAGCACTTGCTGCAGAGAAACTGCACTGGGGGTTTCTGGACAAACTGTCCTCCCAAGTGATACTTTCGGTTGGCTTTGATTACAGTCCCTTCTGAAAGGACCTCAGTGTTTCAAAATACAATCCCAGCAGCCTGAGTCAACAGTCTCCTCACCCAGCAGAGACAGATTAAATGCATCTGAGAGTGGCCATCAAGGCACAAGAGGAGCACAATGAACAGGCTGCAGTGAGATAATCAGATTTCCCTCTTTATCGACAAAGCCTTGCTGTCAGAGCAAGGGGGGATACAAGAGGAGAGCAACCGGGACTCCAGGTTTCATGCAGCACAGCAAGGAGATTGAGGATTTGCTGGGTTCCCATGGCCTGCAGCACACACATGAACTCATGGTTGTAAGTAAAGGCTCTGGCACTGGCTGCTGGTGATGTGCTGTGGCTGATTTCTTACAGCAGGCTCCAGGCAAAAATACTCCTGAAAGTCCTCTGGGTAGCAGAGTCCAACCAGTGCTAGCTAGAACCCTTGCAGCAGCCAAGGAAATAAATGCCTGTAAAAATGCAGCCACCAAGCTGCCTTCTCAAGGAAGGGCAGCCCAACGTTACTGATGATGACCGTCAGAAATGCTGACACCTGCACGTGGTTCTCCCCTCCATGCAACCTCTCTGTTGGGGAAGGAGGCAGCGTGAGTGCGGAGCTTGGGCACGCTGCCCCTCCGGGCAATGCTGTGCCAGCAGACCCCAGGCACGGAGCATGCCAGCTTTCCAGGGACAGGCTTGCTCCATCTCCCAGGGAGCCCTGTGGAGTTCACTAAGGAGCTGGAGAAGGTCTCCCATAAGCAAGGGCCAGCGCATCTGGCAATGCCTCTGGGGAGACATTGCATGTGGAGCATTTCTAGGTGCCAAGACTTCTCCACCTTGAGCTGCAGCGCAGCACATGAAGCAGAGACAAGAGGCCACGCTGGCATCTCTGTGCTCTGTCCTTGTCCTCAAGAAGCAGCACGAGGGAGGAAAGAGCGGATCTCACCTGCTGCCTGAGCAATGGCATGCTGCTCACAACGGGAGCCACGGAGGGTGCAGGCAAGCTTGGAGCAGGGGTCAGGGAAAGGACCAGGAGCAGCCATGTACTAACCTCTCGAAGATCTCTCGTTCGGCACGCTGGGGACAAGGAGAGAAAGAGTCATCACAGCTGAAATCCCCACAGATAAAATCCCAAATACAGGCTGGGGCACAGCAAACCTGGGGCCCAGGGAGCACTGTTTTCCTTCCTGACCCAGAGGAACCACTCCTCACCCCAATGCTGGCCCTGGGGAGCAGAGGGAGCGTCCAACATCCAGTTTCTTCAGCTGCAGCACTTTCCACTCCCTAACGCAGAAAATGAGTGGGAATGGCTGAGGGTGATACATCTTCTACATCTAGCTAGGCGTAATGTCTGCTGCACCAGTGGGACTGAGTGGCTGGGTGACAAATAGCTCGAGAAGGGCGTGGGAGCATCCAGGCAGAGCCTGCCACCGCTCTGCTGTGCGTGCAAGCGGTGTGAGAGCAGAAGACCGCAGGTACAGCTGGGTCGTCTGGCGCAAGGAAACACATGGGAGAGCTGAGGCAGGTGGAAAGTCTCGGACCCACAGAAAACCAGCTCTGACTCTATACCCTCTGGAAGACACCAGCCTGTCTGTATCTGGGAGCTCTTACCGCTGCACCCTGCCTTGCCCAGAGTGTGAAAACCCCAGCCCTGAGGTCCCCCCTCCTTCTCCACCCCGTTAGAGCACGCTGCAAGAACATCCTGTGCTTGGAGCACACAACCCCCAAAGCTTTCAATAAGGGGTGAAGCTGCAGAGCTTCACCAAGAGTCAGACAACCTCGTAATCAGTCCCACTTGTTTTTGTACCCGCTGGCAATGGTGCATTCTCAAGGTACAGCCCAATTAGCAAAGTGATAGGAAAATATTTGATCCCTGCTCAAATATGAGCTGCAGGGTGCTCTACGTGCCTTTCACTTTCCTGTGACATGTATCAATTCCTGAAAGACACAAATACCAACACCAATGATCCAAGGTGGAGAACGTATGAACCCTATTTCCCCTCCACTACATGGCAAAAGGAGAAATTGAGGATCTCGCTTTTTTCTGCCGCAGGCATCTGATGGATCTTGCTTTCCAACCTCTATTCTCTCCACAGCCCAGCCAGATAAGATGCCAGGGCAGGACAGAAGCTGCATTTCCCACCAAAGGAACAGCCATTTACTTTCTGTCCGTAGGATCAGTTCTGTTTTCCAAGCAGAGCTGCTGCCCCCTCTTCACAAAGTTACAGGTGGCAAGCAGAGGCTAAGAGCAAGGAAGAGGAGGTGCAATGCCTACCCGCTCGCATCTGCAACGAGAGAAATTGCTTGGGTAAACCGAGACAATTTAGTAGCCAGAAAAGAAACTGAGTGAAGGGAAGCACGGGCTGCTTTGCACAGCAAATATCGCAAACAGAGGTATGCCAGACAACGGGGCAGACCTTCAAGAAGAGCTGCAGGTGCTCCCAAGGGTCACATTTTGATTAAAACTAGACAGAACACTAGAAAACTGGTGGCCCAATTGACTGCTGTAAGAGCAGCTCTCAACCCAGCTGTCCTGGCTGTCAAGCCTAAGGGCATCTGAGAGCTGGCAGCTTCAAGTCAAGAGCTTGGAGACCTGAGCCTGGGTGGTTCTGAACCTCACTGCAAGCAAAAGCAGAATCAGGCAGAGCAGACGCTCTAGGAACCACTGAGAAACCACAGGGGCTTGTCAGGACCAGGTGAAGGGGGTTCCTTGAGCTAGACCTGCAAATGTAGGTCCTGTCCAACTCTGCCTCCTTGCTGTCAGTACAGCAAGCTGCTGAACACCGTGTTTAAGTCCCGTAATATCCATGATAAAAAGTCTAGGTCACTTTTGGGCTGACTGACCTGTCCCTCGGTACAAGGAGCAGTACTCACCACCAGGCCCTGGTCATCCAGGTAGGTTCAGAGGGCAGCCAGCTTCTGCAAAGCCTCAGTCCAGTGCACCTGCTGGGTCAGGAAGCTCTGGTGCCCCCGCTCCTCCTCCACATGCACCTTCTCCAGCAACCGCTGTTCTTCATTTTCACATGCGTTCCTCATGAAGATCAGCCGCTGGATTACCAGCTCCCACACCACATTGGCTGCGTTCTGCCAGAGCAAGAAGAGAGGAGAAACACCAGCCTTGCTTCAACCCCAACAAGAGCACCAACCACTTCTGCCAGCTTTCTGTGGGCTCAGCTGTTAAGATTACTGTGTTAATTGAGCCCAAGCCACAGTAATCATCACAATGCAAACAGAGGTAAATGGGACAATCAGTCCCAAACCTGCCTACTGCCTCCTGGCCTAACCATGGTACCTAAGTGACAATCTGCGAGGGACCAGAGTCCCATCCCTCAGCAGATCTTCCTGGATTCGCTATTAGCGAGAAACAGAGCCACCATGAGAACTGTCTTTTTTCCTCAGTGACAGTGAGGCACAAATAAAATCAGGAATTGGTAAGACACCGGTCCTAGTGGGATGTTTGATGGCTGTACACTAACACCAAGAAATTTATTGTTTGTGTACATTTTTTAAGCAGATGAAGCAAGAATTGCAGGCGCACCCTGGCACTCCACTTGCACAAGCCGTAGGGTAGGAGGGGGACAACGCCTGCACACCGACAAGCCCCCCAAGAGCTCAGCATCTCCACCGGGAACAGCGAGCATGGGAGCACGCGGGTCCAGCTCCATGCTGGGCTGGGAGAAGGGACAGGGACTTACCAGGACACCCTGGTCCTTGGAAGGCAGCACCTCATCCACGTGCCGGGCGATGGCAGCGCTCTGCAGCTGCAGGTGCTTGCACCGGTCCACGATCTTGTTCTGGAATGCAAAGCGGTGGGCAGCGCGCTGGCCTTGACGGGGCGATGGTGGCCCTGAGCCC